ACCATGCCTTTCAACCTTACCCGCCTGCCAATGGGCGGTGCCTGCTATGGGAACCACCGGGCAACAACCATCAGCAACCTGAGTCCAAAATTCCTCAGTGCGGAAACCACCCTCCATGTCAACTGAGATACGTGACGGTGCTCCAGCCCATCTACACCATGAATCATTGAAGGTTCTACTGAGGGTATAAGGACTATGGTCATTGATGCGGGTGATCAAATGAAAAGATGTGGCCCTATCAAGCATGGACAAAAACCAATGGCCCCGATTTTCACTGTCATGGACATGGAAACAGTCCAAACAAATCTCGTCCCCAAAACGCAATTGACTAGGAGGAATATTACCAACCCGGTTACTTTTGGGGCGTTTCCCATGAGCGCAGCTGATACATCTGATCCACCCACAAGCCTCAGAAACATCTTGTTTCACACCCCCAAGTCTCATGAATCGTTCCAAATCCTTGTTACTAGGGTGGCCTAAGCTGAGATGAAGCTGACGGAGCGTCCTGCGGGCGGTTGCATCAAGTCTTTTACCTGACGGCACCTCAAAATGAATGCCTTCCTCACTCAGTCTTGATTCTTGCTTACTTCTCTTTCCGGGGTCCTCCAAGGCAGTAGAGTCAACATCCATATCTTGGGGTATTTCACTAGGATTATCAACCGCAAAAACAGCCTGCCATTGCTTGAGTCTTTTACTTATGGTCCGCTCACTCCATCGAAGAGACTCAAAACCAGGTTCCCGCTGATCGATTCTACGTTTGATGGTCCTAAGAACATGTCGAATCCTACTAGGCTCCTTATGTTTCAACGTCTTGATAAACCCTGCATGGATGGCTTTGGCAATTTCACGGGTGTATGCCCCTGCATGTTCAGTCACTTCCTTTCCCCCCATGCATTGTCCATGAACATGATCCGAGGCATTACCGCAGTTTTGGCACTTTCTACCTAACTCATGAACAATGTCTTTGGAGGTGCTAAACCAAACAGTAGGGTTCTTCAGGAGCTCACCAGTTTTCACATGTTTGACCCCAAAGCGACAACCGTGACCGACAGCGACATGCACATCAGGGTGATTGATGGTTCTTTGGATGGGTGGCTGTTTAAATGCTGCACTACCTACAGGGTTCTCTCCAAGTGCATCCCCACCGGTCTGAAGCTGGACATGGAATATTTCCTCACACAACTCAAGAAAAGGCCGTTCTCTGAGTCGGAGTTTGTGAAGGCGTCTCCGAGCTTGAGGTGATAGGTATGTCAAATTGCTCAATGGGCTCCACAATCTGCGCGGAAACGACACCACCACAAGCCGAGGACGCTGTTCCTTTACTAGGTCCATCACATATTTACGGTTATCACTAATACTAGGGTCGCAACCATACTTGATATCAGCTGGTTCCAAGGCGTTCCAGCCCCACTTGGCAAACTGCAGAGAAACCTCTGCCTGCCCTCCAAACACTTCAAGCACATCAGGCCGCTGGGAATGAGATGTCACACCAGCAACAGCACAAACAGTAGCAAAAGTCAAAAAGCTGTGCATCATGCGTTTGACATTCCCAAACAGTCTGCGTGCTAAACCCTTCTTCATAGTTTTTCTACGACGACTACCTTCTAAAATCCTCTTTTCAATCTCAGAGGTTGAAAGTAGTTCAGGCGATTTCTCAGAGGGTTCAAAATTCATGTTTCCTACCTGTGCATCTGGATTGCCACGCTCAACTCTCAGTTCTACTTCGGCACCTCGCATTTCACTGCGTCCTCCTCCCGCTTCCGAAGCAGCACCTCCATTTCTTCCTTGGTCACATTCATGTTGAAGCGAGCTGAACCGGCTGCTGCATGATCCTCCTCCAATGGCGTTCCCACAGTGCTCCAAGAAGCGTTTGAAGGAGCAATTGGTACCTGGCTGCGTTTCTTGCTCACACTTGGCTGGGCTTCGGTCATCAATGGCTGGATCTTTTCCGTAGGCATCTGGTAGTAGGTCAGGGACAACGTCTCTCGGCATAGCGGGAACCGGAGACAACCCCAGAAGTCCTGCCGAGTGAGCCGGTTTGTCCTCTTCATCATGGGCAGCTGGCACATCACACACATGGGACTTTCGGGAACGACCTCTTCCTCCTCCACGGCCTCTTGGTCGCTTTGGAACAGGTCCAACTCCAGAATGAACTGGCTCTTCTTCCAACCGTGGTAGTGCTTGTCCTCCACCGATCTCCCCAGTGCCGGGGCCACCACCTCCACATAGATGTCCCTCAAGCTGTCGAGGCTGCTTCGCTTCCAGTTGGGTGGAAGGACCCTGGCATGAGGCCTGGGTTTGATGGATGTCCAAATCTCCTTCAGCCGGTTCACATCGTGCTTTTCCAACTCTTGGGCAGGCACCGAGCACTTCTCGGCAATCCGATTCACATAGTCGGACTTTCGACGAGGGGCTGCCATGAGTTGCTGCTTCAACTTTGTGACTAGCTAAAGGATCGCTATCTGAGGGCTGGACACTGACACTGCGGACATCACAAGTTGCAGGGACAAAGACGTTTGGCTCTTGGGGTTGTTCCCTGACATGATGCCCACTCTCTCTCCCACGGCCCCCAGTCCTCCTAGCTTTGAAGATCATCACTTCCTCCTTTCTCTTCACAACGGGGTCTTCTAAAAACTTCAGAAGGTCACCGGGACGCAGAAGTTGATGTTGATCACCAAAATTCGCGATGTGGATCCCCACCTGGTCATTGTCAGTGTTGACCAGCTTGATCGTGATGCCAATGTGATTCAGTTCCATCTTCTCCTCAGCTAAGTACATAGTAGCTCCAAGACGTCGAAGAGCATTCTTACTCAGCAGAAGTGGGACCGATTGCGTCACCATACTGGCTCTCACGACAGCTACATGGCCATCCGCACCAAGACCAAGGGGAAAGATCAGGGCATACGAGGAATGTAGTACATCTCCAGGTCCGAAGCGAAATGGTTCTCTTTCTTTCACAACCAGGTATGTGATGCCTTTCTCCCACATCCTCATCATGTGTTGTCTTGCCCAATCTTCACCCACAACTGTCTTTGCGCAGCAAGTGTCTGTCATCCCCAAGCTGTCAGCGCCTTTGAAGTTGGCACATGTCATCATGACATCAAAGGCAGTTCCGCTATCGGATGACTCATCATCTTCTTCAGCACCTTGGGTGGTAAAGGTTTGACCACCCTCAGCTGCGAACACCTTCTTCTCGGCTTTCTGGGCTCGATGCTTCTGTGTCTCTGCATAGTATGGGCATGCCTTGTCGGCATGCCAATGGCCGAACACGGTATTAAGGCCATGTGCCTTACAGGCACTGCATGCCATCTGTGCCTTCATTGAAGTCACCCGAGCCTCTCGCTCGCTACTGCTCTCAACCCTCTGGTACCCTCGGCCTTTCTCGGCCTGAGATCTTCTCTTTGCTGCCTGGGTGAGCAGTATCTCCGCCTCCTTCTCCATCAACGACGCCTCATCATCGTCGCCGGCTTCGTCCATCTCACCATCACCTTCTCCTTCAACGGCATGCACACCATGACTCTTTGCGCTCTTTTGGCCAAAGAAACGGGTCTTCCCAGCAGTTCCAGAGTTGCTTGCACTAGAGCCGTGGTCATCACGTTTGACCGTTGGCACTATTGCAACCAGAGCCACCCTCAACTTCTCATAGGTGTAGTCACCGCCTACGGCGGCAACCACTTGTTTCCGCAGGTCATTGCTGATGTTGGCCGCCTCCAAGAAGAAGAATGACTTCACCAGCCCGTCTACCTTGGCTCCCACTTCCTCAAGTTTCTGCAGTTGATCACGGAACTTCGTGTCGAAGCTCACAAATTCTTCACCTTTTTCTCTGTGAAAAACTTTGAAAAAATGGTGCAACGTAGTGAACGTCTGCAGATGTTCGATGGGTTCCAGCTCTTGCTGCAAGTGCTGCAGCAGGTAGGTGACACCTTCAGGACTGCGTAACTTGCTGACTTCCAGTGTCTGAATGGCCAACCACGCACGACCTTCCAGTTTCTCGGCCAAACGCCCTGCCCGGTATTCTTCATCTATACCAGTGGTCGCCAAAAACAGCTCTACCCTCCTCCGGTACTCCCTCAAAGGCGTGCTGCCGTCGAAAGACGGCAAAACTTCCTTCCCTGTGATTCTTTTACTGCCATCTCCTCCAGGGCGCGAGCTTGCCCCTTCCGTCACCTCATCAACACCACTGCGGACGACAAGGTCATCATCTGCCATTGGCTCAACCGATGTTCTGGTGGCTTCAGACTGATTTCCCCAGGATTGCCACGACCAATCACCGCTATCAGGCCTATTAGACCACCAATCACCGGTTGACCAACCACTATAGCGATCACTCCACCATGATGAGCTGCCACCATGATTGCTCCACATCGGCCAGTCTGCTGGCCTACTGCTCCACCATCTATCATAGCTCCACTCATTCCACGGCCTATTTTCCCAGGCCGCCTCATAGCCATGCCACTGCTGTTCGCGCTCATCACGCGGTTGCTCAGCTTCAAATGGCGCCTCATGCCACCATTCTTCTGCCATGGATCAAACCGCTGCTCCGCGCCACCAATGTCAAAACTGACAGGTGGGGTGATCGCTCATTGCATCACTGCCTTTTTCGTCTGCCCCAAGAGCCAAAAAGGCTTCACACAAAGAAATTGTCAAAACGCTTCGCTGGTTCATTCAGACTCTTGCGGGTTTCGTAGCAGCCAACTTGCAATCAACAGAATTCACAGTTTGGGATGACGCTGAAGTCCCCCTTGAGCTGCAATATGAAATGGCCCAGCACTACAAGTCGCTCAGGGTCTTCGCAGATGTGCGGACAGCAGTTCAAGCAGACTTCAACTTGGACCCGGCCTGGCTAGAAACCCGGGCATGCGAGCACAGATCGCACAAGTTGTGGCAGCTTGGAACGCGGGAAAAGAGCTCTATCCCAAAGTCCCAAAGAGAAAGAAATCCAAGCCGAGAGCAAAGTTCTTGGTGTCCCTCGGCACCTGCAACATAGCGAGAGATTGGCTATGCTCAGGGCAGTCAAAAAGGTCCTAGGTCACCTCTCCGACCACGAGACTCCCAGTGCAGAGTATCTAGCGTTGAAGGTGGAGGAATGCGAGAACGGAGAATTCCCCGCAGCTAGCTTGGATGAGGTATCCTCAAAGGCTGATCGCAATACATCAGCCCTACAGACTTCGCTGGACAGCACGGGACAAGTGCGAATCACCAAAACAAAGGCCAAGGGGAGACTTCCAGAGAATACAGAAGAGTACCGGAGGCTCATGAAGTTGGAAGCCACTACATGGCTTTGCATGCCTTCGAAGTTCAAGTCTGAACACTTCTTGGCTGGCTTGAAGATGGAGGACTTCAACCGCTTTGTGGAGTACCTCTTGGGGGAGAAAGTCCATGGGATCAAAGTTCCTTTGGATGGGTTGCAACAGCCACTGCGGCCTCCTTTTGCCTTGGTGCTCCAGTATGAGCATCGCCTGAGACGTGAAGCTTTCAAGTTGGTCAACAAAGGGGAGAAGACGTTAGCAGAGGCCTTGGAGGCCGTGACAAAAGATGCCGAGCTCAAAGAATCATACTTCACCACCCCGCTTGCCTTGACCAACCATGACCCAGCACGAGGTGGCAGCCAACGCACCTTCTCCTATGACAACAGAAAGGGCAAGTCCAAAGGGTTTGGCAAAGCACGGGGCAAATTTGACAAAGGCAAAGGGAAAACCTCTGGAAAATCCAAAGGAAAACATGGTGATCACCACTTGGTCACCCATTCTCCAGATGGGAGAGAGTTCTTCTTTGCCTTCAACAGCCAGGGATGTGCGGGAAAATGCGGCAGACTGCACATATGCCGCATCAAAGGATGCTATGGTGAACATGCGGCCAGGGAACACGATCTTTGCAAAGATGTTCCCAAAGGCGGCAACAAAGCAGAGTGACAGCCTCCAACAGCACCCAGTTGCAAACCCACATTGCGGGTGCTGTATCTATTTTGTGGGAGGCCTCGCAAGGCCGACATCAAGCACTATCTCCAGGAGTTTGGCTTGGAGAACAATTTTGATTTTCATGTTCGAGAGGTCGATGTGGAACGACAGGCCCCCGATGATCTGTTAAACAGTGAACTTTGGAAGAATTTTTTCAGGAATTGGAAGCTGGATTATTGGACGTGGTTTTGATGTCACCGCCCTGCAACACTTTTAGCAGGGTTCGGTTCAACTGGAAAGCTTCGCCGGGCCCACGGCCACTACGAAACTTCAACTGGCCACGGGGGTTCCCATGGCTTACAGGTTCAAACATACAGCTGGTACAGGACCACAACTATTGGTGGACCAGACCATCGCCACAGCACACAAGTGCTTCCAATGCAATGCAGATTTTCTGATAGAGCATCCCGAAGATTTAGGGGAATGCCATGGTGAGTGGCCCGCCAGTATCTGGCAGTTGGAAGCGATGAGACGCTTGCAGGAAGTCACAAAGGTGACAACCTGGGCAGTTTTGACGCGCCGTTGCCCAAGCCGACCAGATTTCTCGCTACCTTGAAGGCTTGCAGAGACCTGCCACACGCTACATGGCCAGTCTTCAGCGAAGACAGTTACCTGGGCCCACTACCAACTTCATGTGGGCATTCTACACACGCCAAGCGCCTCTTGGGCCAACTGCCTAGTGGAAAATGGGCGACGGAGGGATCAGCAGCTTACCCTCCTGCTCTTTGCAAATACCTTGCCGGGCTCATCGCCGGTACGGTGGGGGGGTCTCCAGAACTCTTCACTCGGCTTGCCTGCTGGGAATGTTGCACAAGGTCGACCACCACCTGTACCAGAGCAACCACAGCGGCCCCCTACAACGACAGAGGCCCAACATCCAGAGGCTGGGACAGATGAGCAACAGACTCAAGAAGAGGATGTGTCAAGCAAAGGGTTGGAAGAAACTTGCAACAAAGGAAAGCCATTGATGGTTGAGTGGGGCGGCCGATCCAAGCCTTTGGTCGATGGTTTTGGCCTTTGCTCAGCCAATCGTTGGCGCCCAGAGGACAGAGGTGCCTACCTTACCAGGGAGTTTGTCACAGAGCAGATTGCTGATTTGAGACAGGAAGCTTTCCACTTGGCGTTGGGGCGGCTTAAGGGCTCACCATTGTCGGAAGTAGCTCTACAGGGCCTAAGAGAGAGGTGGGCCAATTTGTTACCATCACCTGCAGGCGCCAAGGAGCTCGCAGAGGGCCAACCTTTCTACTTGCGCTTGTTGGCGCAAACCCTTAGAGGTCATGGAAGACCCCGACTACAAGGTGCTGGTCCAGGACAAGGAATCTTTTGCCACAAAGGTTTCCTGTGGGGCTGGACGAGCCGCTACCTAGAGTTCCGGCCGTGTTTCCTCCGAAAGAGAAGCATCGCAAACTGGATGACTCTGAATACATGCCCTTCTCTGACAACTATAAGTCGGCTGAGCTGGTGGCGGAGGAGATGGAGAACAAGTTTAGAGAAGAAGAGAAGCTAGGAAGGATGTATCCGACAACCTTGGGAGCGCTGAAGGCCAAACACCCGGACAGGGAAATACTGGTGGCATCCATAGGTGCCATACAGAAGCCCAATGGAGACATCCGCCCCATACACGATGCAACCCACCATGTCCAGCTCAACAACAGGATAATTTTCAGAGACCAGTTGCAGTACCCAGGACCAGAAGACGCGGCAGGCGTCATCCGGGAGGTGACGGAGACCAAGGAGGCCATGTTTTCTATCTCAGCTGACATTAAATCAGCACACCGTTTGGTGAAACTGCGGAGCAGGGACCACCCTCTCATTTGCTGCAAGGCCTCGTCTTCTTCAGACACCATCTGGGTCAACACGGTGGGCACCTTTGGCGTTTCCAGCGCCTCCTATTGGTGGACGCGACTCATGGGAACCATTGGAAGGCTGGTGGGTAATGCAATGGGAACCGATTGCAACTACCAGCTTATCTATGTTGATGATTTGCATGTGGTGGTGTTTGGGGAACGGAAGTTCCTGACTTTGTGGATGATGCTTGCAGCCTATGAGGCCCTGGGTACACCTTTTCAATATGCGAAGTTTGCAGGTGGAATAGAGGTTACGTTTGTATGCTTTCAGCTTGACTACGGGCGTTGCAAAATGGGTGTGACGGCCAAGAGAGGCCTTTGGTTGTTGAACTTTATAAAGGAGCTGGAAGAAGCACGATACACAGTGCACATGCGGGGCTTTGGTCGACATGTTTCGGAGTGGCAGGGAAGGTGCATGAAGAATTCTCTGAAAAGTTGTTGGCGCACCGCAGTGTCCACCCAAGTATCTCGACCTCTCTTTTTTTCAGATGTGTGTGCCTAGCCATGGCCTCGTCTGTGGTGACAGCGGCCACCACTCTATCGCTTACTGAAGCGGAACAGATTTTGACCGACCAAGGCTTCGATGTGCCACATGACTTGGGTGGCTTGAGGATTGAAGAGATCCAAGAAGTTTTGGCTCCGTTCGGTGTTCTTGTGCCTGCCGACCTTGCCCTTCTTCGCCGTCGGGGTCAGACTTGCTTGAAAAAGCGCAACTCTCGCTTCTTGGATCCCTCGAACGTTTTGCCGCCAAAACTGCAACGGCCAGATGGAGCATCTTTTGCAGCCCCTGTTTCTGCTTCAGTGCGTGCAGCTTGCTCGCCCAGTCAGCCCATGCCAGAGCGCCAGGGCGCCGCCTTCTGAACGGCGGCGTCCAAATTGCATCTGCTCTTGTTCGGGAAGTTGTCGTGGACAAGTGGCCCCTCCTCTATTCTGAGTTGTCTGCCGTCTGCCTTGCCGCCGAGCCAGCAATCCCAATGGCAGGGCTCTTTGGCCGCCTCCTTGTCCAATCAGTTCGAGTTTGGCACTTTGTCAGCAGCTTTGCGGCTTTGCGGTCTTTTCGCCGCTTGGTCCACTGGCTTGCTGACCAAACGTTGCCGCTGGAATGCCCTGATCCTTCAACGCTGCGGGCCTTCCTGGACCTGCAGCGCGAACGTGGCCCCACTGTGCCTGCTGCAGTTTTACGGCAGTTTATGTGGTTTGAGACTCAACTTCGTGTGCCTTTCCATGCTCGCCCTTTGCTTGCAGATTTCTTAACTCAGAAGGCGGCCCCGCTGCCAACCCAAGCAGAAATTTTGACACCTGCTGCCTGGAACCATTTGCTCTCCTTGTGTAGCACCAGCAGCTCTGGGTGGAACGGCTTACAAGTGGCAGCGGCCATGGTGATTCGCTATGTCATTTCCGGACTTCGCTTCAAGCATACCCAACGGGCTGCTTTTGCTCCCGACCTGTCCTCCGGCAGAACTTTAGTTTGGAAAGTAAGTCAGCAAAGGAAAGGATGGTCAACCATTTGCTGTCTCTTTGCCAACGCACATCAGCCCCAAGTGGCCTTTGCTTAGCCGGTTGAATTCTGAACTCGAACGTGTCGTGGGTGATGTACCGACTTTCATGCCTGACTGCTACTTCAACTCAGCGGGTGAGGTTCGTGTTGCTTCAGTGCCATGTCCCTATTACCGCTTTCAAGCTATTTTTCGATCACTGTTGACATTGCCGCCTTTGGCCCTGTCTGCAGACGAAGCTGCCAATTTCAGCACTTACAGCATGCGCCGATTTTTGCCATCCATGGCTGATTCCTTACAGCTTTCTGACAGTGAGCGAAATTGTTTGGGGAACTGGCAGGATGGAGCCGGCTTGCCGTCGAATGTCCGTGACAGTGCTGAGGTTTTTGGAAACTGCTGCTGGCGTCCGCAGACTGTGCTTGGCTGCCATTGCCCATTTGTTGAAACATGTCACCAATCCGCCTACGTGGCTTCGCCTTCGAGGAGTTCTTCCACATGTCCAATCGCTGCGCCAGATTGTTGCGTCTTCGGAATCTTGGGGGCCTGGCACCGAAGCAGTGCCAGGGCCAGAAGAGGAACCAAGGTCACCCACTGAGCGTGTGAGTGGCAGTTCTGACAGCTCGTCCTCGCAGCCTTCGTCCGATGAGTCCTGCCACGTGTTGGACATCCCGCAGTCGGTAGAAGATTTGATATTTGTGAGGCCAAGAATTCCATGCTGAATCATGAAGGTTTGTCCCCAAATCAACATGTTTTTGGCTGCAATCCCAGAATGCCGGATGATCTAATGCAAGAGAAACCAGATCCTGTTTCTGGCACTGCAGCCTTGCACGACAGTCCTTTTGACCGTGCATAGGCAATTCGTCCTGCAGCCCAAGTCTCCCTGATCCAGCCTCAGGATAGAAAAACTTTCAGAACTGCCCTGAACGCCAGACCCAGAGCTGAACGTGATTTCCTTGCTGGTGATTTTGTGTGTTGCTGGAGAACTCAGAAGTATCAGCGTGGTGTGAGACTGGTTCGGGGTAGGTGGTATGGGGTAGGCATAGTAACGGGCAAAGTGGGTAGAAATCTGCTGGTATACCATAGAAGAAACATGTGTAAGGTGTCTCCTGAACATCTCCATCATGCCACTCTTGAAGAGAGAGCTGTTGCGCAGTCCGTTGGTCGAGAGTTGTTGGGAATTGCCGAATACCGGATGTAGATGAACAGGGACATCTTAAAGGTAGCCAACATGTAGATGTGTCTCAGCAAAAAAATGCCTCCTCAACCGGAGGAAGTGCTCATGTTTGCTGCAGAAGACATAGCCATGCCCGAAGTGCCTGCCGAACCAGCCAGAGCTGCCCATGCCCCTCAGGCTTCTGTTCCCGTTGATGTGCCCCAGCCAGCCAGGGAAGTTGCTGTCGAGGCTACCACTGAACCACTACTGGCCGTAGCCACGGAGCCTCCCAAAGTCACGGCATTTCCTGTGCACCCAAATGAGCCTTTTCGTGGAAGTGCCTCTAGGACTCCAAGTAATCCTCCTCACATAGCCCAATATGGTCCCATAAGATGTAGACATTCAACTAAGAAACTTGAAGTTGTGTTTAGGCCTCCGCAGTCAGAAGCAGTAGACGACCTGCGTAATGAGAAAAGGGCCTCAAGCCGCACTCCCAGTTGTGAACCGCCTGCCAAGTCTTCGCGCACTGAAGCAATGCTTGCAGTTGTCAAGAGTGTTGAATCCATCGAGTCCGAGGTGTTCCTGCCAATTTCCTGAAGAAAAAGATGCAGACAGAATTGCGCCATTCCAATAATCCACCCAGAGGTTCGGGAAGCCATCGATGAATCCAATGTTGCAGAATGGTTGACGCTGTTAGATGAAACGAAGGTGATCAAAGTTCTCAGTCCTCATGAAGAATTTGTGACTCGAAAGCGTAAGCCTGACCGTGCCGTTTCGTAATCACCAAGAAGGTCGAAGATGGGAACGCCAGGATGAAGTCTCGTTGGTGCTTGCGTGATCATCATGACCCAGATCTGCTGGAGAAAGTAGCCTCACGTAAGTGTCATTCACTGACTCTTGCTCAACTGAGCAAAAATATCCCCCTGCAGCTGTTGGTTAGCTTTAGTTGGGACATGAATCTTGGCGACATCAAAGGGTCTTTTCTCCAAGCTGATGTGAATGCGAAGCCGGTGTACTCAGAGCTTCCGCCCGGAGGAGTGGCCGGGGTAGCAGGTGCAAATGACGCGCCCCATAATTGGTACATGGGAATTTGATCGAGTTGCTCAGCAGTGTGGCTTCAAAGCAAAGTTTGACAGTTGTTTCTATCTATAGCCTAGAACGGGTGCTTGGTGCGCATGTACACGACACGATCACAGGGGGAAATGGTCCCACAGACTCCAAAGCCATAGCCGCGTTGCGCGAAAGATTCCCCTTTTGAAAATGGGGAACGGGCCAAGGAGAGTTTTTGGGAGTTGAGTATACGCAAGATCCTGTCAGCAAAGAAAAAACCTACAATCAAAAGGATTATGCAATGAACATCATCACCATCAAAGTTTCCAAAGAGAGAGCCCGACAGCCTTGGAAATTGGCCACCGACAAAGAGGTCGCTGCTCTCCGAGCCATGAATGGAGCCTTGGCGTGGCTGTCAAGCCAGTCCAGACCTGATCTGGCAGTCCAAACATCGTTGTCTCAGCAATGTTTTCCCAATCCAACAGTTGAACACTTGCTCTAGCAAATCAAGCAGTTCGCACAGCAAGACAGCACAGTGACCTCAACATCAAAGTTGCCTTTGTTGATTCTGCTGAGTTGACAATATATTTCTGGTCCGATGCAGCTTTTGCAAATGCTGCCAATCACAAGACCCAAGGAGGTTGGCTCATGGCTCTCACTAGCAAACAGTTTGCTAAGGAAACCGGTTGTCCTGTGAGTTTTGTGGCTGGAACTCGTGCAAGCTTCCCCGAGTGGTGTCTTCGACTGGCAGGAGAGGCGCGGTGTTTCTCCAGTGCATCCGGCATAGCTGAATGGTGCATGCTAATTTTGTCTGAAGCGTTGGATGGCCTATTTTCTTTGCACTTTGTGGATGAAGTTTTGCAACGTCGCAGCCTTATAGGCATGAGTGATTGCAGGTCCCTCTATGATCACTTGGTCACTGTGGGTAGTGCAAGTAAGTTGCAGCCTCGCTGGACGCCCACCGACCGAATGGTCGCTGATGGCCTCACCAAAGATAAAGGAGAGTCTCTTGATCTTTTGAGATTAGTTTTTCGCAGTGCTCGCTATCAACTCGCCGACGAACAATTGTGGTGCTGGATCGGAAGAAAGAAGAGTGCTTGAGACGTCAAGAGCTTGGCTGTAGTCGCGAGAATCTCAACATGTCACAGAACAAGATGAAGAAGATGTAACAGAGCAAGTGGACGCCTGCCCTTTTGTATGGCCACAGTTTTGAAAATACTGCGAATGTCTGCAAGTGCATCAGGGTGACATTGCATGGGTTGTTTCATCAACGTCCGCCATCAATTTGCCAGCTTCGTGAATTTTAAAGTGTATAGTAAGTATAGTATAGCAAATAAAGCATGCCAAGCTCGATAAGATCAGCATCATCGAGCACCTTTTTGCTCAGGTGTTTGTTTTCCTGTCTTTGTTTTCATACAGCCATGCAGTCTAGCACTTTGCCAGTCACTGCCCAAGAGATCGAAGTGGTGAAGGGAATTCTTGCTCGCATGCATCCTCAGGGCCACACCTTGTCTCCTGAGATGTGGAGCAGCAGCACTGTCGGAGCCATGGCCGACAGCAGCAAGCATTTGCGTGATTTTCCAGAACTTCCTCCTTCCGATAATGAGTCCTTGCTGGGACCGAGCGTAGGTTTTGAGCTGGTTCGGGAAGTTACCCCGACTGCCAGCTCTGATCGTCAGAAGCCCATGCCTCCAAAGAGCAAGTCAGGAGAGAAGCCGTCTCTTCCTGAAGGAGTTTGTTCTGTTGAGAAGTGGGGCATGACCGTCTGCAGCTTGCCCGAGTGAAGGATGAAGCTCCCACGTACTTTGAGACCGGCACCCAGGCCAAGTATCAGGAGTACCGCAGTTGGGTGGTGCAGAACGGTGAGTCCAAGGGTGCACGCTGCGTGGATCTGCGCAACTATCTCATTTGCAGTGGCGCCGTGTCATCTGACGGCCAAATCATGATCCCTGGCACCAGCGAAGCCCGCCGCTTTCAAGAGTGTCAAGAGTGAATGATTTCATCACAACTTAAGCATGCATGGATGGTTTTGAAGATGGCAGTTTTGTTCAGCTACCACCTGGTGTTTTGCTGCCATATGAATGAGCTGGGATGCTCATGAAATGCGTGTGATTTCTTTGTTGTTCAGGCTTCTTGACGAAGAGAATGGAGTTTGAAAGCAGCGCCAGTCAGGGAGCACATGTCAATCCTGAAAGGGTTTCCGTCGCAGCCACCCTGCTCTCCCACGGTGGGAAAAGGCCCGCAAGGATTTCCATAGGTTTGGAACCAGTTTGTTAATTCAAATATATACGTGTAGAGGAAGTACAAGAATGCTTCCAAGTTCATCACCAGTCACCAGCTGTGTAAATACTTCTTACAATTCTTTGATGCTGCTGTTGTCTAGCATGGGTCCAGGGTGAATAGTTTCCCCTTTTTCATGTATTGGTTCCATGACTCCCTTTTTGGTATGGTATTGTGATGCATTCTGCTGCTATAGTACGTTCAATAAAAACAAAACTGTATGTAGCACCTAGAACCCATTCGGAAAGCGAATTAGATGCGAACTATTTTGTTTTTGAATACCTGGCTTGATACCAGAACACAACTGCATTTGGAACTGCACATCGGTACCTGCTTGACTCCCGCAGAAGGTAACCATAAACAACTCAAATCAAGAAAAACCACGTGTTTTACGTGGAAAAATGGGGCCGCTATTTGGTTACGCTCTCTTAAATTAATTACCACATTTGCTCGAGAAAAGATCCACGGGTACTTGCGTTGTATTCTTGCGGGCTTGCGCCTTGCAGTTGCTCTTTTTGGAAACATATTCTTCATTGGATGAACGCATTCGGATACCGAACTAGTTGCTTCCAATACT